ATCCTCCTCCTTGAACTTGTCTTTCCTTGGAGTTATTCTAACTACTCAATTTGATTGTACACTTGGAAAGGGTTTGCAAGTTTTAAAATACTACAGAACCATACCTAATCTTTACAATTGCATGGTATAGTAAAAATCAGTTAATAAAATATTGGCTAAGGTGATTTTTAATATTTGGGTTTTAAGATTTTTCTGAGAGGGGCGCCTGGGTGGCTTAGTCGGTTAAGCGTCCGACTTTCACTTAGGTCATGATCTCGCGGTTCGTGGGTTCGAGCCCCGCGTCGGGCTCTGTGCTGACTGCCAGCTCAGAGCCTGGAGCCTGTTTCAGTCTGTGACTCCCTCTCTCTCTGACCCTCCCCTGCTCACCCTGTCTCTCTCTCTCTCCTAGAAATAAATAAAAAAAAATAATTGATGAGGGAGCATAACGTAGGCTGACACCTTGCAAACCAACTCCTACCCCCTCCACCTAACTCCCCTCACCTCCCGACTCTTCCCACCCCCCCCACCCCCGGTGGGATATGTGACATTCCTCAGGCACTCTTGGCTGTCCAGGAACNTAAAAAAAAAAAAAAAAAAAAAAAAGATTTTTCTGAGAATAAGGTGCAACAGGACTGCTTATAAAAGTAGCATATAGATTAGTTACATAGTAGAATTTACTTATGGAAAAGAGGATTAAAAAGGAGACATTTATAACAAAACATGTAATAATACCAAGAGTCACTTACTATGGATGACAGATAAGGCTTAATTGTTATAAATTGGGGAAATTAATAAGTTAAAACAACAGGATGATTTATTTCTTTTTCTTTAAGGAAGTCTTGAGTGATCTAATCACTGGTTGATTTTCTGTACTATTGTTAATGTGATAACAACTATCCAGGAATAAACAAAGAGGTGGGTGGGGCCGAGGGGTGAAGGTAAAACATACCATGAAAACTTCGGATGGATCTGTGCTTCTGCTTCTTTTCCTTTGAGAACCTTGAATAGTTGGATTTGAGGGAAACAGAAGCACTGGGTTTTTTGAGAGATAGGTTGATTTTGATTTTTGCCTGTTTTTAGAAGGGGGATGTTCCAGTATAAATGAAATGTCTTTGGGGACCAGACAAGAATGGTGGTAAGTGAGGCTTAAGCTTGGTATGAAATCTGATTGAGTTTCTGCTATAAAATAGGTATAGTTATTTTAAAATTTAATCTGTGAAAAGAAAACACTATGCCTGGAAAATTTAGTCCTTATTTTTGCTGAAGTACCTCCAGTGCTAGATTCTTTAAACTATAAGTATTTACATTTCCTTTTAATTGCCTAAAATAGAACCAAAGTTTGGCTGGTCTTTAAAAATGTAACAAAGAAACTCTGTCTACTATTTCCAAGATAACATACAGAATCCAGGACAGAGGGCTAATATCATCATTTCTTGACATATGCCCTGAGTATGGGAGCTCGGGGGGGGGGGGGGGGGTAATCATTTTTCCAAGCAAAGATATGACTAATTCCTATTTAAAACTTGTTTATTAAAATCAAAGTGAAGTCAACATGAAATCATAAAAGCCCATTCCATAGAAACACCTTAAAAACTGAAAAAAAAATTTGAGACACCCCAAAAACCGGTGGCTCAGTCGGTTAAGCATCTGACTCTTGGGTTTGGCTCAAGTCATGATCTTACAGTTCATGAGTTTGATACCCATGTTAGGGCCTGCTTGGGATTCTCTCTCTCCTTCTCTCTCTGACCTTCCCCTGCTCACTCGCTCTCTCTCAAAATAAATAAACTTAAAAAAAAAAAAAAAAGAATCCACTAAAACTTTTTTCCCCCCAAAATTCCACCTGTGCCTGAAAGGATATATTATAATCTATACTCAAAAAATGAAGGAGACTTATTAGAATATTCAGTTTTTTTGGTAGAACTACAATGTCCAATGAGGTAGTGAGTGGCCACATGTGACTATCTGAAATTAATTAAACAAAATTAAATATTATTTCCTCAACTGTATGAGTCACATTTCAGGTACTCTAGAATCACATGTGACTAGTGATTACTCTTGGACAGTCCACGTATATATAGAGTATTTCCATCATCGTATAAATCATCATCTATTGGACAGTTTTAGAATGTTCAGTATTCTTCCTAGAATACTGTTAATTTCTCAGAACTTTCCTCCAAGTAAATGCTCCTCTTTAATTTTCTTCTCCTGGAGATTAACATTCATGATGTTTGGAGTAAAGGAAATAGAACAATGAGAACTTTTCCTCCAGATAGATGAGAAGGTTTCTCCTTCTGCACCTTACTGGCAAGGGAGAAGAACCTAAATCAGCACTGTGCCTGACAGTAAGGGCTCAAAGGTGATTAAGACATGTACCCTGCCCTCAGGAGGTTACAGTATCAAAGTAGTTATCCATTAACAAAAGAAAGAAACTCCTCTTGTTGCAGAGGCTGCATGTTCAAAACTAATAATCTACCTTGGCATTTAAGAACTACTAGATATGTGAAAATATGTATATACTTTATTTTCCTTAAAACAAAAAACCATCCTCTCTGGACAACCCATTTTTCTTTTTCTCGCCATTTTTGAATCCCGAATCATCTATATCCTTTTACTATTTTCAAAATGCTAATTCAATTCATTGTCTTAGGATATATTCTTTATAAAACTTTTAATTGTGTTTCCTTATCAATTCCATTAGACAAGAATGATTAGGTAATAATAATTAGAAATCTTAATTACCATTGTATGTTCCTATAAGAAATCGTTTGAAGTTATAGATAGTATATGGTATAAATATCAGTATCATATATATACATTTAATGTATGCTCATTTAAGATGATTATTCTTCTGGGCCTTAAATCTAGAGGTTTGTAGGAATTTTCCTGTTTACATTTATTTTCTTCTCCACAGGGCACTCATTTCTAAAGTAAGTGATATCTGGTTAAATCTTTGAAAACAAGATAGGACAAGATTTCCAACCCCAGTGCTGCTACTTAGTTTGGGTAATATTAGGTAAGTGACTTGACCGGTCTGAACTACAGTTTCCTCAACTATAAAGTATAGTTGAAGGGGCGCCTGGGTGGCTCAGTTGGTTAAGTGTCTGACTTTGGCTCAGGTCATGGTCTCATGGTTTGTGAATTTGAGCCCTGTGTCAGGCTCTGTGCTGACAGAGTGGAGCCTGAAGCTTGCTTCAGATTCTGTGTCTCCGTCTCTCTCTGCCTCTCCCCTGCTCATTCTCTCTCTCAAAAATAAATAAATGTTAGGGCACCTAGAGGGCTCAGTCAGTTAAGTATCTGGTTTCGACTCAGGTCATGATCTCATGGTTCATGGGTTCAAGCCCTGATCAGGCTTTGTGCTGACAGCTCAGAGCCTGGAGCCTGCTTCAGATTCTGTGTCTCCCTCTCTCTCTACCCCTTCCCTGCTCACACTCTACCTCTCTCTCTCTCTCTCTCTCTCTCTCAAAAATAAACAACAAATCAATGTTAAAAGAAAAAATTTAAAAAATAAAGTGTGATTAAAACTACCTACTTTACAGTACTATCGTTTTAAATTTTCATATAGAAAGGAATTTATCACTGCCTCATGAATGCTAGAAACTCAACGATTATTAGTTTCCTCCTACCTTGCTATAAAAACATCTTTAAATTCCTGGTTGGCAGTGATGAACTGTGTCTTTTATAGAACCTATCGCAGGACATTTTTTTCTATAGAATGAATAGTGACAACAGCTGATATTTATTGAGGGCTTACTATGTGAGAAAGGCTGTATTTCATAAGTGCTTCACAAAACATTTTTTCCCAGTAACTTATTTTTCCCATAAATGCTTCACAGAATATTACTTCCCTATGAAGTAAGGAAGGTGTGTCCATTTTACAGAAGTCAAAGAGGCTCACAGGGATCAAAAAACTTGCCCAGGGTCATCGCTCAAACATCTGAGTCAGTCTAGGTCCTTTGTCCTCACTTAGAAATAAGGAGACTATGGTGGGTGCATTCCAAAAGCCAGTGAATTAAATGCTAAGACAGTGAATTTTATGGGAGATGAACTATATCTCCAATAAAATTGCTCTTTAAAACAACTGCTGAATTTGTAGTGATTAGGGAGTCAGGCTCAGTTGCTTAAGCTCAGTTGGTTAACTTTGGATCAGGTCATGATCTCACAGTTTGTGAGTATGAGCCCCACTGACAGTGCAGAGCCTGCTTGGGATTCTCTCTATCTTCCTCTCTCTCTGCCCCTCCCTTGCTCTCACTCTCTCTCTCTAAGTAAGTAAGTAAGTGAATAAATAAATAAATAAACTTAAAAAAATTAGCATCATTCTCTGGTGCACTTGGTCTCTAATTGCTTTTTACCTCTTTAGAGGAAAACTCTGTATCAAGTTCCTACTCTCAAAACGAGTCCATTCCCAATGTCTACTAAGAAGACCTGGTTTCTTCTAAGGGTCAGAGAGCCAAAGAAGGTATGTATGGGAAGTGACCTGCTCAGCTATATGTATCAGCCTTACTAGAACACAGAATACAACATAGACTCCAATAATTAGCCTTGCAACTTATTTGGATTATTGTCCAATAGAAGTTAAAAATTCACGAAGGATGTTGAGATAATTGGGGAGAAGATGGAGACAAAAGAAAGGATCCAGAAATAATAACTCCAAAAGTAAAATGTGAACATTTTCTTAAAAATGTCCTGCATGCTTTGCATACCTTCCTCTATTATTTCACCTCCTTCTGACACATTTTTCATTTAGAAAACTTTCTCAGGTTTTGGAAAGATTAGTATGTTTGATTGAAGATGGAAAGAATTATCAATGTAGTGTTTGTACATTAGCATTCGGAGAACAAAAGCTTGTTGGATTAAAAGGAACGTCATGCCTTGGATATGGAAAAGAGCACTAAAGGCTGAGGAACTAGACCCCCAGATCAGGATGCTGATGTGTGAAGTTCAAGTGCTGTTAACTTTGGTGTAGTCATGCCTTTGATTTCTACCCGCAGACATGAACAGAAACCAGGACTTGTTATCATTACCTTCATCCATGCCATTGAGTAATTCGGTTAAATCTTCATTTTTGCTGTCAAACTGATGCTCCTTCCATGTTTCTCCATTTTCACTTCGAAGAACAATGAGTTCTCTCTCTTTTCCTCTCATGGACCCAAAGTGAGGGATTTCCACTATGACAGGGCTGGAAAAGAAATCCACATTATTTTGGTATCAAAATGAAATACGTTTACAGTATCATACTTAAAAAAAAAGTTTCATTAACAATATTCATTTGAAAATCAGAGGTGCCACTAAGGTTGGGAATGATTTCAAAGCTGCAGAATCATTTGCTAATTAAATAATATATTAGAAGCCTGAAAACATGCCATCATTCATTCATTCACAAACAATTAATTAATAAGGGCCTACCATGTGTTAGGCATTTGATTTAATATGGGAGAAAGTATTCAACACATATAAACAGGAATTTTGAATGAAGGAATTGAAAGGTATTAAAATAGACCATGAGCAAGTTGGTCCATTTTTAAAAATACAATAGGTCTATCATATTATACAAAAAGCTAATGATTTAAAAGGACACAGTCATTTTGTTGAAAAAGAAATTGGATAGTTTTCCTCCTTTGAAAAATCACAGGTATTTGTCCCTTCACAAGCAAACAATCGACATAACAATTCACTCCCTCAAACAGTGACTTTCCATGACTTTTATGGCCTGTACAGTTAAGGCAGTTTTCTCTGATGTTTAATTTGTGAGATGGTCGTGGGCCGCTTAATTTCCTATTTCTAGAAAAACCTGCAGAGAAATATTTAAACTTTCTGAAAAAGCACTTGTTGATTTGAAATTGTAATCTAATGATATATTAAATGTTGACAGTGTCCTTTTGCAGAAGAATGTAAAAGAACGGCTTAGAATTGAAGATAGCCAATCAAGCACAAGAATCATTTTGTTGAATTTTAAAATAGGATAAATGCTAAAAAGGATGAATGGAAGTAAGCAGACCACAATCACACACAGTTTATGTAGTTGGATTGTGCAGCTTTATTTTATGACATTTAAGTAGACAGTATCATTATTCTCCTACAGAGGTTGTATATAACCTCACCTCTTAACCTGTGCATTTATATAAGGTCACAATGGAGGCTACGGGGGCAGATAGGCAAGAGCATAGAAAGGGCTAGTCGTTGTAATGATCCAATAACATGAATATGTATGAACATTTCATTTATCACAAAAGCATTTGTTTAAAATGGGATGATAAATATGATCATTTTACTTTTGGCAAAATAATTAGAATTAATTCAAATTAAAGATTTAAACATTGTTAATAATGCCTTTATTTTTTGATAGATAAACAAAATCAACTACTCCTAAGAGTGTTAATAATTTTAAGAGTTAAGATATTTACCGTTGTTTTTAACCACATCTGATTTGACATTACTTTTTTTTTTTTTGAGAACTAGATACAATCTTTGCAGGTTAATGTATCAGATACTGTCTCTGTAAATATTTGAGGAATGTGGCTTTGTGTAGGACATTCAACAACACTGGAAAGAAGGTATGAACCAGGGCCTCTGACCAAGGTGAAAGCCAAGCATAAGTTTTCATAACAGGTTTCTTCATGCAGACTGCCAAGGCAAATCCCCCAACCAGACAGACAAGCAAACAAACAACAGATACCAACACATTTCAGCTTCAACAAAACAAAACAAGACAATTTAATAACTGTTGTAGAACATTCTATCTGCTGCCTATTTGGCTTTCTTTAAATATCTTCTAGCCCCAACGTTTATTCAAATCAGTTTCCTTATTGAGGACTTTTCTTTCTCAAAGCCCATGAAGATTACCTACTATGCATAAATATGTACTTTTAAGAAAATGTAACTCCAGACACATACATATATATATATATATATATATATATACACACATATATATATTCACACACATATATATCATTTACAGCAAATGCTGATTCAAAGCCTGCAAATACCTCTCTTACATTGGGTTAAAATTAGATTGTCAGTCTGTCTTAAAAACTACCATATTCAGTTGAAACATTTCAAAGTAAGGGAAGGTTTACAAAAGCACAAAGTTACAAAGCAGAATGCTTGCAGGAAATTCCACATGCCGGAGAAGCACAAGGTAGGTAGCGATGCTACATTAAGTCAAGCCACTATGATTTTTGTTTCTTTCAGTGACACACATCAACTGAAAGCATTAAAAACTGAAAAAATAAAAAGAAAATTAAGACAAGAATAAGACCATGGGTGTGACAGAAAAAAATTGAAAATGGAGAAAGAATTGTAGACATTCTGTATCTTGTCTATAAAGATCCTACCCAATAAATTTTGTTCCTTGAGGCCCAAGCTGCAGGATTCGGCTAACCAAACTCTCACCCTCATTTACAGGGGGAGGATTGGTAGGAAGATGCAGTTTACTGAATAACATCCATGCAGCAGGAAGAGAAACGAGAAGGGGAAATTGTGAACAAACTGTCTGTCACGACAGAGCCTGCCTGATTTGCACCCAAGTGCCACCTCAGAAAATGAATTTATTTTTCCTTTTTGTAAAATACCATTATCACAATGGATTATATCCCTGCAAATTATCTCTAAAAAAAGGCATGTACCCATAGTAGCCATTTATTCAATGTGGTCATATAATTCCAGCATCTGTATTTTTTCTTAAGAATGGTGCCTTGACTTCTACAGGGGCCGCTGGGGTTCCGTGCACTCACTGAGCAGAGAACATGCTTTTTGATTAGTAAAGCTTTGACCAGCAAACTGAGTTAAGGAAGTATCAGCCTACTTGCTTTTCACAGAATTACACAGCTTTGTGACCTTTGATGCTACACGAAAGGTATACTCAATCAAAATGGTCCGACTACGTCATATTAATAGTTAACTACTTGAGTTAAAAAGGGCAAAGAAAATCAAATATATCATACAAGGGCCAAGATAAAAATTGACAAAATCACTTACCCTAAAAATTGTGCCCCTGCAGGACCCATTTCTACCAGCCTACTGGCTAATCCCTCTCCTTCCACCATGGGGGGTGGGTTGGCCAGTTTATGTCTCTTTACCAAACGGCAGGTGATTCGGGTGGGGGCCGTACACTTGCGTGGGGGGATGATGATTCTCATCCCGTGGTGACGGCTCCCTCTCATGGAGCCTCCTCTTGCATCCACCATAAAGCTGACCAGAAACCTGCAGGGAGAAGATCAGAGGCCGAATCAAGGACAGAAATAAACCATCTTCACAGGAGGTTTTAAAATTAAATGTTAAGGAAAAAAAATTAAATGTTAAGGTTTAAAACGACAGACAATGTGGCTATCATTTCCTCTCTTTAAAAATATATTGGAAGTAAATACAGTGGAGTCACACCAAACATGCATTTAACTCGTGAATTGGGCAAAAAGTGAAACATGACAACTTATTTTTGGTGGAACGTGGCCTCCTAGTAGAAGCCAACCACTGTGTCAGATACTCCGACTGAGGAACAGTGAATGGTTCAAAGCTGGAATAAAAACTGTCATGCATTTAAAAACCCAAACCCAGGCTGCCGTATGCAGCCTCTGCAGATGGTCTTAGCTGTATTCAAGGGTCATTTTAACTATAAGTGGTTTTAGCCACATGCTCACTATGGACTCTCGCTCTCTGACAAGTCACATGAAATTCCACGGTATGTCTTAACATGTACAACTCCTAAAATAAGTATGTATGTATTTAATCATACTGAACAGTCTATCACAAAGCAGAATATAAGAATAAAAGCAGATGCTTAGTTCTGCTAAGGCAATTTTGATGGAAAGGGATTTAATCTTTTCAGCATAAATTGGACTTTAAAACTGTTGAAAATAATCTATACTTGAATATCTGTACAGCCATACAAAACTAGTAACTTAGACTTTTTAGAAAATGTCTCTAAATTATATCATTCTGTCATTGGCCTTTACATCAAAGCTAATGAAGAAAAATTATTTGTCTGCATGTAGATATGAAAATGTAGAGAAACTGATAGTATCTCATATTGCATATCGCAGTTCCCTATTCCTTTCACATGCTTACAGAAAGGTCATCCCTGAATCTGGTGCCATAAACCAGTGAGTCTGACTCGTGAAAGAGTGCAAGTCAGACAGGAGAAAAATATGCTTATTACTAGAACAACACCAAATGTTGATAATGAGAAAATTGTTTGAATATCTATAGTATTGGGAGGGCAGATAATCCTATCCATCAAAAATCCTCTACTAAATATAGTTCATCTGAATACAGTTCTAACATCCTGCAAATAGATTTTAGGACCTTGCATGGAGGTGCTAGCTGGGGACCCTTTCCTTAAGTGATGCCTCTTGATCTTGGAAGAGTAACCTCTTCCTCAAAGCAAACTGACCTGCCGTCCCCATGGTGAAAGGCAATAGCATGGGGATCATTTTCCAGCCAATCAGATGTTCAGGACCAACTCTGGTCATCAGTGAGGTAGAATCAACTTCTTACCCTTCTGCTTATTTTGGACTTAGCCATTTTCCTCTGGATTATGTTTTTTGTTTTGTAACATTAGACCTACTTTGAGAGGTTGGAACTTCTGTAATGTTCAATGTAAAGGGGGAAGAGACTAACCTCTCTAAAACAAAACACAACACACACCTTCCACGTCAAAGACAAAGACACTTGTCTGCTTGTGCAAGTGACCACATGAATTGCCTCGGGTGCTACATGACAAGGCTCACTTGAAACTGCTCTGGGGAGCCTACACTGTCTTAGACATACACATATTAAAAACATCTTTACTCAGTAATGAAGACAATAGGGCAACTTTATAAAGAAGCCGAAGACAAAATCTTATCTTTCCCAGCATTTAGTCATGAAAATCAACTTGTGCTAGGGAATAATAGCAACAGAATGGATTAAAAATGATTTGAGGTCAACTCTGGGTTCGAAAATGTGGTTGTATTAGCTCACATAAACACTGGAATGTTTACACTGGGAGGGTAGTGTTTGCCCTGGCAACAAAGAGTTGATCTCAATAATATAGATGGTAATTCGGATCAGGCCTGCCTTGTTCTCTGCTTGACCTGCAGAGCTGGCAAGCACATAATAAATGTTTACTGAATGACCCATTGAACAAAAACTATTCTATTAAGGGCACTTAGGAAATGCCTAGGTCAGACACAGTTACTAGTATTAAAAATATACCTATATGAAAAAGATTTATATATATATATAAATATATATAACACTTGTAGATGAAGAGTATGAAGGTTGTTTAAGAAGGTCTTCAGTGTCAATACAAAAATATCCAAACTACAAAGAATATCACATCCAAATGGAAAAAAAAAACATGTCTTAGAAGATTTTAATGACAAATTAGAAGAAGCTCTTTCTCTGAATTCTGCACAGCACCCAGTGCCTAGTTGGTAATCATTAGCAATCGTTTAATGTTCTAAGGTTTTCAACTTTATAGAGCCAATAGACTGAGGAAACGTGAGAAAATATATTAGGCAGGATAAGGGTCCTGTTACTGAATAATAATGAAATTCAGTGATTTGTTTTCCAAACTCATTCCTTACATATTTTATGCAAAATAAAATTTCATGCAATATAACTCATAGAAACAAATCAAAAGGTGATGTTTAAACATATCTGTTGTATCTTATTAATACTTAAACTAAAGCAGGAATTCTAGAAATGATCCTAAAACTAACACACGAATGTTGCTAATTGTAAGAACAGCGGGAAGATGAAAGCTGATACACTACAGACACTGACACAACTAACCGTGGGAAAACTTCACATAAATTAATAATACAAAAAGGATGGTTCACATAAAGGACACAGTTATCACCTTGAATCATACTGAGGAAGTGGAGAAGAATAGCTGCAAAATAATTTAGAAAGCAAATGGGAGAAATTAATGTAAGATAATTAGAAGCAAGCAACAGAAAATGTCAATGACAAGCAAAGGAAAAATAAAAACCATCAGAAAATGAAACCAAGGCATTTGGCATTTGTGGGACAACCTGGAAAAATATTCACGTTCAGTGGCTATAGAAGCTACTATCCAGACCTAGCAGCATTAGTGAACCATTTCCAAGTGTACACCAAGTCTATATTTTCCTTTTTCAAATAAGCCCACACCAGCTGCCAATACTTTTGCTTTCCTGGACATGTCTATTGCCCTCAATAAATTCAAGAGGAAGGAGAGAGAATTCGCATATTCAAATATTTCATTGTCTCCAATGTATGGGAAAGTTCACTTCTGATTTTATTATTCTATGCTCCCTCAAATTCTCATTTGAAGTTCCAACTATCATTTGAAGCAAAGCACAAAAGTTTCCTAAATTACACACTAGTACTTTTCTTTGCTATGTAGAGAACACAAAATGCTGGTTCTAGGTCTTTGTAACACAGTGGCAATTCACCAAGCTTAATACAAAGAACCTCTTCAACATGTGGCTCACTGAATGTATCCCAAATATTTCATAGTTTACCTCCCAACTGATTGTTTTTTGGCTTTTGTAACTTTAGACCCATAAACATCTGACATAAATTGTGTAACTATTTTAAGCAATTAAAAATTATTACTATAATTAAAGATTTTTTCTAGTTGAGTTAGAGATGCAACGTTATTTAGTCAAAGACCATGTGTAGTTTATAATTTATAAAGCACTTTTAAGTCAATTACTTCCATTTGAATGATACTGCAATTATTTGTGCTACAATACACAAATCTGTAGGATACTTTAACCTGCAGGGTTACTCTAAGTCTGACTTTTCATCTGAAAAATGGGGATAATGAGTAAAATTTATCTCACAGTGTCATTTTAAGGTTCAAATAAATATTAAGATAATACATGTAAAACATTTAACACAATGCCAGGTACATAAAAAGGTAAAGGTTAGCAATTACAATTTATTTGAATTAAAAGCAACAGAAAATAATTCATGTAATATGTATAGCATTTCAGGAGTATTAATTACTGTTAATTTATTTAATTCCAAATTAATCTGGATCACAACTTGTCCTGGATCACAACTAATATATGGCCAAAATGCCAAATTTAGAGGCAAAAATACCTTGAAATTTCCATAATCTCAATGATTTCTATTCCATTTGTGTGGCATCAACTAGCCCAAGCTTTAGTTACTGACAGGTGAAGAATCCCGTATGTAAGTATACACTGACTACCAATTCAGCAGTTAGAGCAGGCTACTTTGCACCGCCCACCTCTCAATCTGCTACCAGTGGGGAAGCAGTGAGGAACCTGTTCAATGTGGTTTTTAACCACAGCATTTCTGGGGTACACACATTGGTACATTCACCTCTTTTCTTTTTAAAATTAATTTCTCTTCTTCTAATTGTAATTTAATGAGACTTCATCATAATTTTATTTCAGGAGTGCAGAAGGCACCAAACTGGTCTGAAGACTGCAGGTGTTTCATCATGTGAAGCAATGCACAAGAGCAGTGAGCAAGGGGAATGAGCAGAAATACCTACACATATAACTTTCCGTTAGAAAGGAAAATCAGACACTCAGAAATAAAACTTCATCTGAATCAAGTAAAATTGAGGGAAATGACTAGATTTAATTTTTTTCATCAAAAAGGAAAATTAAAGATTCAGAAGTAGTACTAGAACAGCCGAGACATTTTATGTACGAATACTTTATTTTCCTTTCCAACACTATGTTTTTTTTCAACAAAAAAACAGGTATAGCAATTTGCTCAGAAAAGAACATTTACAAATGATTTACAAATATACGTGACATATACTCGTTAATGAAGTCTTTTAGAAGACCAATATTTCATACACATAAAGCTTGTCAGTATGAATTTATAAATGCAAATAAACATAATGTTCATTTAATGGGATAAAGGAAGGTGACTTTTAGATTACTTACCCAGAATGAACAGGACTTGAGACAAGATTGACATTGTCCAAGGTATCTGCAGCCCAGCTATAATGTCTAAGAGAATCTGAATCAAATTCTCTTGTAAATGTTAGATGCTGCAAAATAAAATGATATAAGGCATCAACAACACACAAGACACTGATTTCTCTGTACCGACAAAATATACCTGTATGTCTCTATAAGTCCCGATAGGCAAAATAAATTTGTACTTACTCTTCTATAGGTCTACACTGAAGTTTCAAGAATAGAAAACAAAGTTTATTGATAAGTTGTTTTATTTCAATCCTTTAAAAACTTTTTTAAATGTTTATTTTTGAGAGAGACAGAGAGAGACAGAGACAGAGCTCGAGCAGGGAGGGGCATAGAGCAAGGGAGACACAGAATCTGAAACAGGCTCCAGGCTCTGAGCTGTCAGCACAGAGCCTGAGGTGGGGTTCAAACCCACAAACTGCAAAATCATGACCTGAGCTGAAGTCGGAAGCTTAATCTAATAAGCCATCCAGGCACCCCTCAATCTTTTTTTCTAAACATGCCACTGCATGAGTTTCTTTAAACCATTTCTCATGGTTATTTATTTATTTTTGAGAGAGAGAAAGAGAGAGAGTGGGTGCCTGAGGGGGGAAGGAGCAGAGAGAGAGGAAGAGAGAGAATTTCAAGCAGGCTTCATGCTGTCAGCACAGAGCCCAATGCCGGGCTCGATGCCATGAACCAAGAGATCATGACCTAGCTGAAATCAAGAGTTGGATGGTTCAGTGCCTGAGCCACCCAGGTGCCCATTTTATTCCAGTCTTCTAGGACAGCATCTCCAGTAACTGACATGGCAAAAGGAATATCACAGAAGTAATACTAACCATGATTTCAGCTACTTGAACACATCTCCAACTTCATCTTACAATTATAAAATTCTTTCCCATGTCTCAAAAACAAAACAAAACAAAACAAAACAAAAAAACAAAACCAACCCATCTTGCTTACTTTTGTTTCCAAGTGGGGCAAAGTAGCTAGCCAAAGCCTACTGCTGCTGCTCCAAGCATGCCCAGAAATATGCAGATCAACTCTGAATGCTGTGGACATGAGGCACAGAGAACAAGGGGAGCTGCCCTCCAGAGAAGAGAGGGGCTTGAAGACCCCTTCTCAATTGGGTGCGTTTGTCAATTCAGATAGAGTTTGGGCTATGTAGGGGCCACCACTGGGGCCTAGAAAAACCAGTGGAGTTTTGGTGCAGAGCTTGGTGGCCTTAGTGTACCACAGATTTCTGTGAAGAACATTTGATAAATTCTGGGGCTGTGCAGAATAGGAAGCTAGAAACCTAACCAGAAAATCACTAAAAGGTGCAGTGTTGCTTCTTGGGAGCTTCATGAGAAAAAGATTTGGAAGTTTGGGACTTCTCGGGGGAGAGGATCACACAAGATTTTCACATAAGGACCTTGACGGGCCAGGGACCAAGCAGAGGTAGTCTGAGTCTACCAAGGAGGCAAATGATTTTGCCTCCTTTCAGCAAAATCTTAACTGGATTGAAATGATCAGCTGCCAGCCTATTTGTCTAGCAGAGGGAGGGTGCACCCTTTATGGAGAATTACATCATCGTTGGGTGTGTCCTGTCTACAATTTTTTATATATTCATGCCCAGCATGTGGTGAGAAATGGCCAAGGATGGCGAGAGCACACGAACAAACACAAAATAAAACATTCTATAAACAGACTCCCCGGTCATCCTACATTTTGAAGTAAGCAAATAAGAACTTTACAACAGCTCTGATTAGTATGTTGAAAAACAAGGAAGGAAAAAACAGAGGAAAGGAATTAAAAGATGGATATCTTAACAAGGCACTGAAATTACATAAGAATCAAATGGACATTTGCTCACTTCTAAATACAATATCAGTTCTTGACTAGGCACAATAGAAAACAGGGTTAGATAACTAGAAGTATAGATGGAGAAAGGTACAAAATAAAGGATTTAAAAGCAGCATGGAAAACACAGAAAATAGTATGAGACATGTGGGACACAGAGAAAGCTTTTAACATGTGTAACTGGACTCTCAGAAGAGAGAAAGGCAGAAGCTGTATTTGAGGAGAGAATGTCCTTCCTTAACTGGTCTCCCAGTCAGATCGGGACAGAGCCTCCAAGCAGAAAACGGAAACCTTCTCTGGGATTTCCCAGTGATTTAGAATTCAGTGGGAATTGAGATTTCCCAGTGAAATGTCCCTGGCCTATTACTTCAGTAGAAATAATGGGTGAAAAGCCTTTCTGCTCCATGCAGAGAGCTTCCAGTGAGCTTAGGAGTGAGCAAATAGCCAAGAGTCACTAGAAAGTTGTGAAGTGTCTAATATAAGGAATAAAATAAGCAAATAAGCAAACAGAACAAAAGCAAATGGGAAGAAACTGAGGCATTTTAGAGAGAAGAAAGCTTAATTTTTTTCATTAATATCCAGAGAGAGATGAGATCTTTTTATACTTATAAAGCAATAAAATATTAAGACAAAAAATCTCAGAGAAAAAGGAACTCATAGAAAGTAACAAATATGATAGCATTAAAGTTGAAAAAACATCTAGAAGTTAGGGGGAGATTTTCAAATATAGAAAATAGGAGAACATACAAGAAAGCAGAGGATTATTTCAGGAATTCCAAATCCATTTCCTTTCTCCAAAGAAAAAAGTTTTAGAAAGAAAAAGTCGTGAAATAGAGAACAGATCAAAGAAATGATTCAAGAAACTTCCCCAAAGCAGAAGGCCTGAGCTCCCAGAGTAAAACAATCCACTTGAGTGACCAGCATTATGAATATAGACCCACTAGAGCACATCATCATGAAATTTTAGATCCTGGAGACGAAGAAAGAGCCTACAAATTTAAAGAGGAAAAATGATCACACATGGCAGACTTCCATCAGTCTTTTAACAGCAAAAACTGAAGTTAAAGGCAATGGAGCAATTCCTTCAGCGTCCTGAGAGGAAATGATATTCAACCCAGAATTCTAAAACCAGCCAAAAAAAAAAAAAAGGTGTGAGAATAGAATTAAGATATCTTCAGAAATATAAAAACCCCCAAATATATTTCTTATGAACTCTGTAAGGAAACTATTGGAAGATGTATTCCAAAGTGAAGGATTAAACCAAGAAGGGGGAAGACACAGGGTGTATATAAGGGAGTTTTCATGGTGGCAGTAAAGGAAGACCCAGGAGGACATCCATGCAGTGGGAATGTAAGGAGTCTGATAAGCAAGACAGCTCACAGAGAAATAAACTAAGCAGATGAAATTTACAGAACACCTAATGAGTGTGACCGTATTGAGAGGAGATTGGCATAACTGGGCAGGAACTGGTGGGCTGGACTAGTGATACGTACAGAGAACATGAAGCAAATACAAAAACCTCCAGGGAAAGCAAAATATTGTGCCAAGAGGAGAATGCAATCAATATACTTCACATCTGTGGATAGCATTACATAGGCATAATAATAGAAGCACTAAATACTGGGACAACTAAAGTAAAATACAACCATTTGGGGAATGTGGGGGGATGGAAAGTGTGCATGGTGGGAAAGAAGAAGTATTTAAAAAATAAAAACTTCATCTTTTATTTTGTGAAGTCCATAAATAATTCCTGAAATGGGTGAAAGCCAACAAGAAGCCACATATACATTTTAGACACCTGGAAGCACATGGTAAGAGTTATCAAAAGGTACCCTAAGCAGTTATGTTTGGAGAGAAGAAATTGGAGGCTGAAGGTATACATGTGAATTCTTTTTTTTCTGATGAGTTTGCCTTATAAAATGACATGGCTTTTTATTTGTATAACTTCAAGAATAAAACATAAATTTAAAAACTTACAGTGAATTACAAAGACTTGTTTTTTTTTTTAAAAACAAAACAAAACCCTGAAATCAAATTGGAAAAGAATAACAGTTCACAACAGCAAGGTCCTAACCCCAAAAGAGCAACACATCATCACTTCAGAAAGCTTCTAAATTCTACATGGATTAACCAATGATGTGTTAGTTGTCAGTCAGGCCTTATTTACCAATTTTACTGGCTTCTGGAGATTCCAACCAACTAACATTCAGAATAGGGCAAATATTAATATAAAGTTGGTAGTGATACTTTTAGCATACTATCAATCCTACATTTGGGGTCGTGAGGTCACTTTTCACAAAGGATCCATTTTTTTAAGTTCTAATAAATAAGTAATATCACTCCTCTTTGGTAATTACAGTAAATTATTTACCTTTGGAACTCTTAGAAACTTTTACTCGCAACATGAATTATTGAAACACTGACTTATACCATGCAAGGAGCTATCACTGCCATTATGTACTATTTATGGAGGCATGAGGGTGCCAGCACACTGGGGTCCCAAGTCCCTGTCAGTCCTTCCTGACTCCTTTACTCTCCAAACTCTTTGCCACCCATTGACACTTTGTCATCATACAAATGAACAAATGTAATATAAGCAAAATATACTTGTTTAAAACGATGATCTGTAATGTCCCAATATTTGTCCCAACTATTTTTTTCCAAAGAGGTTTGCTTATGTTTATGAGCAGAACTACCAATTTTAATAACCTAAACACAAACAACATGTTCTTCCCACACTGTATCTCTTTAGACACAAAATAAAGCAATTTAACTGAACTTATTTTTTGGCCTTTGCTTATCTTCATTTATTGAAAACCCTTCTGGAGATGCCCCAATGTGACTTGCTGTCTTTATGATCCTTAGTGCATTTCTTTTTTTTTTTTTTCCTTTCTTATCTAGAGTAGTGAAAAACTAGGGTAGAAGCAGGGCAATGCTGACCTGCTCTTTCTTTCTTTCTTTCTTTTTTCTTTTTTACAAATAGTTTATTGTCAAATTAGTTTCCACATAACACTCAGTGTTCATCCCCACAAGTGTCCTCCTCCATGCCCATCCCTCCTCCCCCCACATCCATCAGTCCTCAGTTTTTGTCAGCATTCAAGAGTCTCTCATGGTTTGCCTCTCTCCCTCCTTAGTGCATTTCTTAACTTTTCCCAGTCTCAGTGTCCTTTGAGAACTCCAAACTGAGAGTCAGTTGCTGTGGTGATTGAATAAAAATGTACATCAAGGGCTCAGTCAGTTG